GAGGAGAGGAGAGGAGAGGAGAGGAGAGGAGAGGAGAGGAGAGGAGAGGAGGAAAATAAAAGGCAAGAAAAAAGGAGAAATAAAATTGATTTAATTGTTGGTGGTTTTTATCATGTCTACTTGTCGCTTCTCAAGGAAGAGGCGTTATGGTACTCAGAAAGTGAAGCCTGGAGCCAGCCCTCATGTGCCAGTTGAGAACAAAACCCAAGATAATTTACCAGATAATTTACATTGTCATTTCAGAATCATGCCCCTAAACTTTACATTAGAAAAAGAAAAAGCGCCCTAAAGGCTTTTGTGCAATTAATTTCTGGTCCCTCAGTGGGCATCCTTTAAAAGCTTGGGTTGAGGGCTTAAGCTTGGATGGACTTGTCTGGCTAAGCAGAGCAGCCACTAAAGCTTCCTGCATAAGTGATGGAGAGCTCATCATCTCAGAAGACAAATTCACCACAGGGCATATATCCTAATGTAAGAGTTTAGATGCCAGAACTTAGAAACAAAGATTCTGGGCCAAAGACATTTGATTTCTGGGGACATATGTTCAGAGAGTAAATTTAAAAGACTAATTCCCTTGGTAATTTGCTAGGCATTGTTGTCTTCTGTCTCAGCATCTAAAAGGCAGTGTGAGGCCCAGAGATGCAGGCACCACGCATGGCGTGCTGTTCAGTTCACACCAGGGCCTCTCTAGTTTTGTGTGCTACAGCCAGCTCTAGCATTCAGAAATGCCTTCTTCAGCTGCATTAAAAAAAGTCCCCCATTGTCAGCAGGCTGAACTTTAGTTAAATCAGTCTAAATTAGCCCATTTGTCACCAACTGTTGTAGAACATCTGTCACTTGGAAATAGAGATCCCTGTAGTTTCAGGTGGAAATATGCAGTTTTGGCCATCTTTTTTGCTCCTGTAATGTGCTGACTGCTGAACTTACAAAAACAGAAATAGCTTTGGCTTCAAAATGTGAGTTTCCTAGTGCCACAGTAACAGCAGTGTCTGGAAGAAGAAAGTTTCTGACAGATCTGGCCTAGGAGGACAAGGTCAGCAAAAAGCATCCTCAGGGAAAGGTGTTACGCTGTGGATTTTATAAGAGCAAGTTTTACAAGCTTTCCATATGTTCCCCATTGTTTATTTTATAAACATCATTAACACTGACCATTATTAGCGTTAATGTCTTATTAAAATTCCTTGGAAACTTGCTGTGAACAGATGGATAATGTTTTTCCTTTACACATGTATATGCCTAAGATTGCTAAGCATGGAGATTCTGAAATGAGCTTCCTTTTTGCAAGGAAATTTGAATTGATCTGTATTTGAATTGATCTGAGGAGTGTTTTTCGTGCATTTTTTTCCATTGCTGTTCCACAGTCCTGCATAATTGACTACAATATGTCAGTTGCTTTATGAAGAAGAGTTTGAAAATATGAGATGTCCAAAATAGGTGTGTGTGGCCTGTTAAATTCTGCAGACTGATAGAAACCCACTTCTGCTTTTCTGCAGTAAGGACCCACAAGTCTAGTGTAATGCTGCAGCTGTGTGGCCATTTGACATAAATATTACAGTATTTTAAAAATATCATGTGGCGGTCCTCTCTCATGAACTAGGTCAGATGTCAGTTTGGAGCTGACCATTCTGGGCTTTCTTTGCATTCAGAAGAGAAAAATAAGAATCTCCACGGAATGAGTCATCAAACTGATCTCATGGTGCTCTTCCAATGAGGTGAATCATCCCTTGGATATGCCATTTTTTCTCTGCTGCCCATAGAGGATTCACAGGGGGCCTAGCTCTGAACCAGATGTCCCACTTTTCACATGTCTTGTTCAGAGCTGATTAATCCCACTAACCGTGTACAGCATTGATAGAGATGGGTGTAGCATAAGGGAAGAACTTGGAGTTAGATAAAAAATGCCAGCAATGAATGTTATGGGGAGTGAAAAAGAAATAAAATTGGCTTCAAGTGCACTCACCTGGAATATACACACTCACACACATACACACACATAGAATCTTGGTGGGTCTCAGTAGAAAATACTTTCTTATTAATGAGGATTACTGTGACCAGAACATTTCATCTTATGGCCTAACTAATAAAGAAGTACAGGCGTTGAAATCCCTGCGACAAATTTGTGCCTGGAGGTATTTAGGAGATTACTGAGCAGATTACCCCTAAAAATTTGGGTCAATTGCTCAGCACGTGAATTAATTACCTCATCAAGGTACTTGTGCCAGGATAATCTGTGAAATAAAGTGTATTACTGTTGTCACACCACCAATTTATAGCACCTGATTTAAGTGCTACAGGGATTCTTAGTATGGTGCTTCTTCAGTTATTTAAGGGATTAAGAGAGAAAAATTTCTACTTCCTTCTTTTTATTAAATTACTTGATTTTTTTAGATTTGAATTTGTGCCTAAAGTATGGATTGTTTTCAAGGATTTAGGATAGGTCTGTCTTTGTGGTTTGACATCTATTTACTCCCCCAGCTTCGATACATGCGACACTGCCCCTTGGCTTTCCCTTCATCTCTGTTTCATTTTCTCCCAAGCCACCTGTTCAGCGTAAGGTTTACAGATGTTTGTCCCCATGTTTAAGGAAAATGGAGGCCCTAGAGATATCCCTGTTGAGTTGTTGGTGTTTTTTTTAGACTGCACCAAAGCCTCAATTTCCTCTTCTGACTCTCTTCTCCATGCATTGTAAACTTTGCCTACCTCTCACTGAGTTTTCAGACTATTTAATGCAGTCTCCCTTAGAAACACTGAAAAAGGTACCTACAGGTGAATAATATTTCCATATTCAAAAATTAATTTGGTATCTAAAGAGTAAGACACAGAAGGTGGTGGAAGTGTCCCAGTATACAAGTTGATAGGTTATACACATGATGTAATGAAGTGCCCCATGGCTGGTTACTGAGCAGATTATGACACTCCATCATTTGGACATTTTGGCCCATTTTACTTAAGAGCTAATGGACTTAGTGGACTCTGAAACCAGGTCCCTGTCAGAGTCTATGAATCGGTCTCTTGTGTGCCTGTGGGAGAACAGTGAGAGGAGGGTGGTTTTTATCATGGGCCCCCTGGCCAGTTTACTTCCCATGGAATCATAGACTCAGTAAGGTTGTAAAAGACCTCCAAGATCATTTGAGTCCAGCCTTTGAATAAACACCACCATGCCAAAAAAACCATAGCACTAAGTGCCTTGGCCAGTCATTTCTTAAACACTTCCAGGGATGTTATCTTCACCCTGGGAAGCCTGTTCCAGTGGTTAACCACTCTTTCAGTGAAAAAATTCTTCCTGATGTCCAGCATGAACATGAGCAAGGAGTTTTCTCTGAAACTTTTACTTTTTTCAGTTCAAGAGTTTTACTTTTGAACTGAAAGGGGACCAGTTTAGATTAGGTATTAGGAAGAAACATAGTGTGAGAGTGGTGAGACACTGGCACAGGTTGCCCAGAGAAGCTGTGGATGCCCCACAGTGTCCTGGCAGTGTTCAAGGCCAGGCTGGATGAAGCTTTGAGCAACCTGGTCTAGTGAAAGGCATCCCTGCCCGTGGCAGGGGGGTTGGAAACAGATGATCTTTAAGATACATTCCAAGCCAAACCATTCTATGATTCTGTGGATATGACATTATGCAGTTTACCTGCTTTGCCTGTTGCTAAGTATCTTCAGCCCTTACTTGTGAAACAGGAAGTGAAGCTAGATTCAATTTTGAGCTGATTCAGTAGGCCTCTCCATTTAGGAAGAATCAAAGATTTGGGGAGAAGGCTGTGTGTCATGTACCCCTTTTTGGACTCTAACAATTGTCACCTTGAGTTTTCCTTTCCTTTCTACTAAAGGACTCCAGTGGTATATTAGATTACATCTTTTATCTTTTATCAAATAGCTGGTAGGTATCTGACATGAATCCAAAAAACAAAAAAAAAAAACGAAAAAAAATCCAAAAAACAAACAAAAAATTAAATAATTCTGAAGGGAAAAGCATTCTCAATAGACTGAATAAAATTCTCCTCCTTTCATATTTCTTCATTTTCATTCTCTGATCTCCCTGGATTTGATTTAATCTCTTTTGACATTATCAATGCCTTCAGAGATAGAATCTGTTTTTTTTTTATGTTGAAAAAG